CTATGGGGTCTCTATGGGGCCGGAGGTTCCTATGGGTCTCTATGGGGCAGGAGGCCGCTATGGGGTCTCTATGGGGTCCCTATGGGGTCTCTGTGCCCCCCAGGGACGCTGGGGGTCCGCCTGGCGCTGCTGCCGCTGCTGCTTCACGCCCAACGTGAGGCCGCCCGCATCGCCCCACATCTGCCCCACATCCAGCGCCTGGCCAAGGAGCTGCAGGAAGCACGGAGGGGGGCGGAGCCGCACCGCGGTGGGCGGGGCTTAAAGAAGGGGCGGGGACTTGGGGATGAGGGCTCGGCCAGGGGGGCGGGGCCTCGCCAAGGGGTGGGGCTTGAAGGAAGAGGCGGGGGCTCAGCGGGGTGGGCGGGGCTTCGGGAATGGGGCGGGGCTTCGGGAATAAGGTGGGGCTTCGCATTGGGGGCGGGGCTACGCTGTGAGGCTTGAAGAGGCGGGGCCTCGGGTTTGGGGTGGTGCCTCGCATGGGGTGGGCGGGGCTTAAAGGAAGGGGCGGGGCCTCTTTGTGGGCGGGGCTTCACGGCGAAGGCGGGGGTTCAATGAAAAGGGCAGAGCCTCAGCGGGGTGGGCGGGGTTTGATGAAGGGGGCGGGGCTTGACGAGGGGGCGGGGCCTCATAAGTGGGGCAGGGATTAAAGGAGGGCTGAGCCTCAGAAGTGGGTGCAGCTGTGGGGCTGGATGTGTGGGGCGGGATCTATGGGGCTGGATGTGCAGGGCTGGATGTGTGGGGCTGGATGTGTGGGGCTGGATCTATGGGGCTGAGTGCTGGCCTCCCCCCGCAGTGACTCGTGCCTACGCTCAGCTGGCCGCCTACCAGCAGCGGCACAACGTGAATCCATTGAGGGGCTTCCTGGTCCCCCTGGTGCAGGTGGGGATGGGGGATCTATGGGGCAGACGTGGGGGATCTACGGGGCGGGTGTGGGGTGGGATATAGGGGATCTATGGGGCAGCTATGGGGGATCTATGGGGCAGCTATGCCGGATCTATGGGGCAGCTATGGCTGTGTTGCAAGGACAGGGGTGTAGATAAATATGGTTCAGCGCCACCGTGTGGATGGCGGTGGAATTGCAGCTCCAATGGAGGAATGCTTGGATATGGGGCTCAGCTGCGCCACCGTGTGGCCGGGAGTGGAATTACAGCGTTATGGGGGATCTGGGGGGCAACTGTGGGGTATCTATGGGGCAGCTATGGAGAAGCTATGGGGCAGATGTGGGGCGGCTATGGGGCAGCTATGGGGCACAGCTATGGGGCAGTGGGTTTGTGGGGTCGGGGTCCCTATGGGGCGGCTCTATGGGGTCCTTATGGGGTCAAGGCGTGGGGTGTCAAGAGAAGTCAAAGGTCAAAGGTCGTGACCCCTGGTGTTGGGGGTCAGACCCCCGTGTTCGTCTCTTTCTTCCTGGCGCTGCAGCAGATGGCGGCAGTTCCGGTTCCGGGTTTGAAAGGGGGCGGAGTCGCGTGGATCAGCGATCTGAGCAGCCCAGACCCGACCTACGCCATGCCGCTGCTCACCAGCGCCACCATGTGGATGGTGCTGGAGGTACGACCGGGGAGGACTGAGGGAGGGCGGCTGAGCGCCGCCGTGTGGATAGGGGTGGAACTGCACCCCTATAATGGAGCTCTATGGGGAGCTCAGCAGCGCCACTGTGTGGATGGAGGTGGAACTGCACTCGTATAATGGAGCTCTATGGGGATGTGAGCTCAGCAGCGCCACTGAGTGGATGAAGGTGGAACTGCACCCCTATAACGAAGTTCTATGGGATATGAGTTCAGCAGCGCCACTGAGTGGATGGAGGTGGAACTGCACCCCTATAATGGAGCTCTATGGGGATGTGAGCTCAGCAGCGCCACTGTGTGGATGGAGGTGGAACTGCACTGCTATAATGGATCTCTATGGGGATATGGGGAGCTCAGCAGCGCCACCAATGGCGTTTCTGGTTGTAGGAAGGTGGCACTTGCACTGACCAATGGCGTTTCTCGTTACAGGCGGGGGCGGAGTCAGGCGTGAGCAGCCCCCACGCAGGGGCGGTGCGGGCGGTGCTGCGGGTGCTGCCGCTCGTCTTCCTGCCCATGACCGTGCACTTCCCGGCGGTGAGCCAATCAGGGGCCAGCAGCACCGGAAGGGGCGGGGTTAAGCGGAAAAGGGGCGGGGTTTAAACTCCCTTATTGGAAGGGGTGTGGAAATGTGAAGGGCAGGGCTTTGGGAAAGGGGCGGGGCCTGATGAGAGGGGGCGGGGCTTTGAGCTTATAACACCTTGAAGGGGCGGGGCTTTGGGGGTCCACGACAGCTTCCTGGTTCTGAGCCAATCAGAGCCCAGGAAAGGGGCGGGATGTCGGCAAAGGGGCGTGGCTTCCTACCTGCCGCCGGGTGGGCGTGTCTTGTGGCTGACCCCGCCCCCTCCCGCAGGCCATCTTCGTCTATTGGCTGACCTCCAACACCTTCAGCCTATTGCAGGCGCTGTTGCTCCGCCTCCCCGCCGTCCGTTCCGCCCTTCGCATCCCGGCTCCGCCCCCCCCCCCCCCCCCCGGATCCTTCGGGGTCCGGCCCCAAAGAAGGATTCCTGCAGAAGATGCGCAACAGTGAGAGCCTGGGGGGATCCTGGGGGTCACCGTGGAGCCCTATGGGTCCCTATGGGGCTTTATGGGACTCCGTGGGTCTCTATGGGGTCTCTATGGGTCTGCGTGGGGTCTCTGTAGGTCACTGTGGGCCCCATGGGGTCCCTATGGGTCTTTATGGGACTCTGTGGGTCCCTGGGGGTTCTTCATGGGGTCTCTATGGGTCTGTGTGGGGTCTCTGTAGGTTACTATGGGCCTCTATCGGGTCCCTATGGACCCCCAAGGGTCTTTATGGGACCCTGTGGGTCTCTATGGGTCCCTGGAGGTTCTCCATGGGGTCTCCATGGGTCTGTGTGGGGCCTCTGTGGGTCACTGTGGGCCTCCATGGGGTCCCTATGGCACTTTATGGGACTCCGTGGGTCACTATGGGCCTCCATGGGGTCACTGTGGGTCTCTATGGGTCCCTATGGGTCTTTATGGGACTCTGTGGGTCTTTATGGGTCCCTAGGAGTGTCTGTGTGGGGGTCTGTGTAGGACACTATGGGCCTCCATGGGGTCACTGTGGGCCTCCATGTGGTCCCTGTTGGTCCCTATGGGTCCCGATGGCCCCCTGTGGGTCCCTATGGGTCCCGATGGCCCCCTGTGGGTCTCTATGGGGTCCCAATGGGTCC